CTTTGCACAAACCTAATATAGGATAGGGTACCCTACGAGTATAAGGTATAAAAAAATCGGAAGGAGTATGTTATAGTAGAAGTTGATGCTTTCCCTTAGTTTGTTTATTTTATCCACACATTGTATTTAAACACGGAACATTTTATAAAGGCAGTCAGTTCGGCAATTTTATTATTTGGCGTGTCGGCTCGTATCTTTGCTGATGAGGATAAGAGCAGTATTCAAGCACAGGGCGTACTAGAGCAGTGTAAAGAAGCTTAGTGGTATAAGGGTCATTAAATTCCTTGGACCAACGTTTAATGAATCCAAGTAATCCCTTGGCCTTATTGACAATACTAGATATGGGAAGGTTAAAGTTCAAGTTGGAATCAGAAAGAACCCCAAGGTCTTCAACAGTCGATATACGTTGCAATGGCACATTGTCAATCGTATACGTGACTAAATGGGGCAAAGGTCGGTGAAATGTCATGAACTTACATTTAGAGCAATTGAGGTGCAAGTGGTTAGCTAAGCACCAAGATTGCATGCAGTTCAGATCATCCTGCAGGCGATGAAAATGAGAAGGGTCTTTATAAGTCAGAACAAGTTTCACATCATCAGCATACATAAGAATATGAGAGTGTGACAAGGTAGCGGGGAGGTCATTGATAAATAATGCAAAAAGTAAGGGACCAAGATGGCTACCTTGAGGCACACCTGATGATGCAAACACAGGCTTAGAAATGTGCGACCTAAGCAAGATCCGTTGGGATCTGTCTTTTAGGTAAGACGAAATCCAACACAAAAAAGCGGAGGGAAATCCTATACGACTTAGCTTAAAGAGCAGAAGATCATGGTTCACAGAGTCAAATGCTTTACTGAAGTCAGTGTAAGCGACATCAGTCTGCATTTTTAGAGTAAATGCTTCATTTACTAAGGAAGTAAATTCTCTCAAATTGGTCGTAGTAGACCGTCTCTTTATGCAACCATGTTGAGCTGGAGATATGACAGATTTACAGAGGTGCTGTAAAGTGCTGCAAACTATTTTATCAAATAATTTCGGTATGGCAGACAACTTTGCAATTCCTCTGTAGTTTGAAATATCAAACTTACCACCCTTTTTATGAACAGGAATAATAAAAGATTCTCTACAAATAGTTGAAAAGATTGAGGAACCATGTGACAGATAAAGATTTTAAGTAATGGCTGTAATAGGGAACTAGAACACTCATTGAGAACACAACTAGGAATGTTGTCTGCTTCAGGACAGTATGCAGATTTTAAAGATTTGATAGCAGAAAGTAGACAGCTATCAGTAATTATGGGAGCGTAAATAGTGTGGAAAGATGAAATGCTATAAGGATAAGAGGTACTACTAATAGAGACAGAGGAATAAATAGACTGGAAGAAGTTGGCAAACAAGCCAGCAGCTTCAGAATCGTTGCTGGCTTTTTTGTCACCAAGGAAAAATGATGAAGGTAGAGAAGCAGTTTTACGTTTAGAATTAACGAACTTATAGAATTGTTTAGGGTCCTGTGCAAATTGCATCTTGCATCGGGCAAGGTAATTATTATAACATCGTGAATTAAGAAGAACAAAATTCGATTTCGCTATAGAGTATTTATAGAAGTCAAGAGATAGGCCTGACTGCTTATACTTTTTAAAGCATCAAGATTTAACATTTTTTAAGTTTGAAAGTCTTGGTGAAAACCAAGGAGGTTTTGATGACGCAGACGATATGACACTATTTGGGATACAGACATCAAAAAGACCATTAATAGTGTCAAAGAAAAACTTGACGGCTATGTTGATATCAACCGCACTATACAAAAAGGAGCAATTAGTTGCTAAAATAAGTTCGTTAAGCAAAGAAAAATTTCCTTTGCGAAAGCAACGACGTGTTTTGTTAGAATTACTATAAATGTAGGAATAAAGGTGTGATTTGAAAATGTAGGGTGGTAAGTATCTTCAGGCACTGACAGGGGTAAAGACCTAGAGACTACAGCGCTACTAGGGTCAGTGACATAGACGAGATCAAGCATTTTGCTGAGGTGATTAGGTATAGGATTAATTTGAAACAAAGAAAGATCCAAAAATTCATGCTCTGCTGAGGGCACCAAAAAATTGGACTCATTGAAAAATGACCATTCTATGTTAGGCAAATTAAAATCACCTAGCACAACAAACGCATCTCTGTCACGGAGATGAGTGGAAATTGCTTTAATACAAGTTATATGTTGCATATAAACTTGAATATCGGAAGAGGGAGGTATATACGAGCAAGTGATGTAAAGAGCAAAAGACGGCAAAGTTACTTTAACAGCAACAAATTCAACATCATTTGGCACATCACCATCAATGATTTCCGACCGAAGGTTGGATTTGACTGCAATCAGTACCCCTCCGCCTCGACGACTCGGACGATCATGACGAAAAATACAAAAGTCATCTGATAAAATTTCATTATCAGATCGTAGGATTTAACCACGTTTCTGAAAACGCAATAATATTAGAATAAAAAGAAAAACTGCTCAGAAATAAATTCCCGAGCTTGGACAAAAGACCACTAACATTCTGATACAGAATATTAATCGAAAAAGGTCGCGAGTCTAGTTTTTTAAAGCCGTACTTGACGTTGGTTTCGAAGAAAGAGTACTAGACTGTAAATCAACAGGCAGTGACGAAACTCGTTTTTTCTGCCTAAACTCATGAACAATCATATGTGGAGGCCAAAATTTTTGGTCACAAATAATTGAAAAGCCTCAGGCGGAACACTTATTTGAAACGAGGCTATTTCACGGGGCTCAGCAAAACTGAACTTCGAAATGAATACACTAGCCGTCGATTTACTGCCAATATAGGTTGCTATAGATTCACAAGTGGTATCGGAAGATAATCTTGATACAAAAACTTGTCTTCTGGGAGCTATAACAGTAAGAGCCGGGGGCTGAGGCAGAGCAGAAACTGACGCACAATCTGCAGCTCGTGATGAGACTGCGGGGAAAATTGCAGAAAATTTTATGGAGGAAGCTTTCTTAGAAGCTTTCGAGGCCACTACTATGTGTGATTGCCTGTAGAAGTATAATAGTTAAATTCAAGAACAAAGGCAATTCATTTAACAAGTAAAAAAGCTAAAGTCGGGTGACCCGACTTTGAAATACTCTGTACATATGTTTACAATAATTATAGAAAATAAAAAAAATTAAGAAACTTAAAAAAAAATTTTTTTGATCGATTTTACCTTTCTCGGTATTCGAACTCATGTAAAGGGTGTATAATTGCACATTTACATAGCAATTGCGTCTGTGTGAGTGTATGTATGCCTATGCGCATCTATTCGTGTCTGTGTAAACATGTGTGCAGTCAACCAAAGCACCAGCATCAACAACAGCCGCGGGCAGCGCTGCAGCAGCAAATATATTTATGGCTATAACTTCTTGTTAAATCGGTCTATCATAGTGAAACTTGGCATACCGACACATAATAACCAAATTCCAAGAAATACGGGAGTTACGATTTGCGGGGGAGAGGGGGGAGGGAGGGAAATTCCAAAATATACATTTTCTGCGTATTCACATAAGGCATCTTGGACTAAAATTTGGTGTTCCTAGGTCTTATAGTCTCCGAGATATAGGCGATTATACGAATGGAAAATCGGGAAAACCCCCATAGGGGGAAAGTGGGGTGGAAAATCAAAAAAATCAAACAAACTTGTGTAGAATACACACATAAGGCATCTTTGTGCAAAATTTGGTGTCTCTATCTCTTATAGTCTCTGAGATCCAGGTGTTCATACGGACAGGTTCAGGTTCAGACAGGCAGGGCTAGATCGACTCGTCTCGTTATGCTGATCAAGAATATATATACTTTGTGGGGTCTGCCAAGCCTCCTTCTGCCTGTTACATTTTTCAGCTCCCGCAAACCTAATATTCTTCTATACATATCATGTACAGAGTATAATATTAATGTATGTGAAGAAAGTACAACAAAAGTTCGTAAGGTGCCTAACGAATTACACTGACTTTGCTGAAATCATGGTTTTAGCCTTAGCCTAAATGTGAAAAGGAAATTATAGAGAACGAAAAAGAAGAGTTGAGGAAGTATAGCCACGTGCCTCAATATTAAAGTTATGCAGCTCAGTCTGCTTCAGTGAGTCAAGGGCAACTATACAATTGCGAATTGCTGTTCTCGATATAAAAATTGCTTAACATGTGGGGTCTACCACGCCTCCTTGGGAGACAATTGTACCACATTGTATATATGTATGTATGTACATATTTACATATATATATAGATTAAATTTGACTCATTATTACATTTGCACTGAGCTTTGGATGCACAGTCCAAAGCAGACAAAAAGCATTTAAAAATAAATAAAACTGCTTCATTTCTGTATTGATACATAAATGACTCTTATCTTTTTGTGAAAGTAGCGGAAAAGGCAACACCATATAAACCGACATGTCTGTACAAATTGCATTGAGTTTCAGTTAAGCAAATCACAGCGCTACCAACCATGTACCTACCGTACAAAAATAAGTCAATAACAGCAATTTAACGCGATTACAAAGGCGGGTACTACAGCGTTATCTCCAATATAATAAGGCCCGCTGATAAGGTGAATGCGAAAAGAAGTAATTGGAAAAAAATGTATATAATTTCTGACACAATAGGAGCAATACAACTTAAAATCTCAAAAAAAGCCCCTAATACAATTTAATAAGGCAGTATTAATGGTTCCAACAGCTAGGCTGTCGTCCATAATCGTACATAGCATATACATACATACATTTGTATGAATATATTACATACATACGTACATATATAACGGTAAAGACAAGTGCAGCCTTTTTGACGTTATCACAAGCGTATAAGTATAATAAAAATCAAAATCATCCATTTGATTAGAATTATATCGATACATTTGGAAAAAATTGCGCATAATCCAAGTATTTTAACCTTTATCTTTAGCTAACACGCCTAACTATTTCTGGTTTACCTAAGTAACCAATTTTACTCACTTGAAAACTTGTTTCTAATACGTGTAAGGAATGCGTTTTCTAGATGTATAAATCAGTTTTCATACGATAAATTCAAAACATATTGTCGCGCAATTATAACCGTTTTCGATGGGCATTTATTAAACACTGAGCACATAATTGAGCGTTATGCCTTTGAACTGATAAGAAATGCTATTGAGAGCCCACTGCCGCATGTATATATCAAAGATAAAAATGTAGATATATGTGTGCAGAGCAATTTTGCCCAACATGTTAAAAAATCATGGAAATGATTGCATTAATTTTCTAAGGTAATAAACATTTTGACTTGGGTGTATAAAGAAGATTTCTGCTCTAAACTATAATGAGTAGGCGCCAAGTCTTCTCTTTTATGTAGAACAAATGGAGCTGCCAACTCATTGTTCTAAGTATATCGGATACCGATTACAACTGGTTTCTTTAGCATCGATTAATCAAAAGTATATGTGCTACAATGAAAACTGTATTGTGTACATCTCTAGCTGTCGCGATTCTCTGCGTAATAAGCAGAACTTGTAAAAATAGTTAAGTAAATTGACAATTAACGTAAGTATAAATGAGCACAGAGCATCTAGTATGAAGGTGAAATTCACAAAATACATACATATGTATGTCATATCAAAAAAGAGGTGGTTAATCTCCCTGGTATTGTGTTTTGGAAGTAGCGAAATATAAATCAATGCATATAAAAAATCAGAATGACAATGGTTTAGTGTGTTCCAATATGAGAGACTAGTGATATATCGGACTATAAATTTTTTAAAGCTCTAATAACATAAGTTGGTTTAAAAATGTTGCTAGTGGATTTTCATTTCGCTGCGGCAGCGACTGCCACTTTTGGATGCACTGTCAACTTCGGCTGACCCACCAATTCAAAATGGCTGTCGCACTAGTTTTAAAGTTTCCATATGTTTTTGTTGTGTTCAGTTTGGGAAGGTTTCTGTTTTAGTGTTTATAAGAATTGTCAACATTTAAAAAAAAAGCGCCCTATATTTACATGTTTTCAAACAAAATAAATTATGGGCCTAAAGTTCAGGCATTGAGTAGTTTTCTGCATCGACGGAAAACGATGACACATCATCTACGTCAATTTTTTGTGTTGCGCATGTGTACAAATACATATTTACATACATATGTATGTTGGTGTGTACGTTTCCCAACATCTCTTTCCTAACCCTACACAACACCTCACCCTACCATTTACTTTTCGATCGATTTTTACTGGCTCCTTTCTTCTGTTGCATAAAAAGTACATATGTAAATGCCTTAGCGCCCTCTCGGTAGATCTAGTCTAACAAAATTACTTATGTATGTACATATGTACACCAGTATGTACATATATGTATGTACATATATGAATAAAGTTTGAGCACTAAACCAGTTCTGCAAAGGGAATGAAGTTGCTAGGAATCTTATTCTCATATTTTAACAGTACTTAAATTTGTATGTTACCTTGATGTGAAAGCTAACTCGTGGCCAAACTACTTCCGATATATATGTACATATTTTGCCTGGGAATAACGAATTGCAACAGAAGTAACTGCACACAAAATATCACAAAGATGATGCGGAAGTGTCAATTCTAAATATGAGCAATTGTATTTATCCCGTTGTGAATAGTCCCCAAGTGCCAAGTATTTATGAGTTTCTTATCTTCACTGACCTTATCCAAAAATAAAAACATTACTACCGTAAACCCAAATGGTAAAAGTAGCTTGTGAAATAAAAGAAAACATCGACCCCATAAAGTATGTTTATACACCGCGCGACAATCCATTAGCACACTCTATGCTTCTTCGTTTTGAAGCTTAATATCAGCCAATCTTATAAAGCTATTAAAATTAACTTTCTAGCTAATAGAAGATCATTAAATTATACACCAGGAAACGTAATAGTAATTGTATTAGCTTTATAAATAATATTTTAACAGAATTTTAACAAATTTAATACCAAAAATTCACTTTTATTTTTGTGACATTTGATTAGCACACCTTTATGTAAATATGGAATAACATAAGAAAGTGGGCACAGAAAACCATCAAATTAATTTTTTACGTAAGCTTCTGCATTTTCTTAGCTTATTTAGGAAGAATTAATAATGGGTTTACCCACCACGGTTAACTATGACTTCCTGTTGGGTAAGGAGTCATATAATTTCTTTAAATAATTTAGTGCAATGGTCTCCCACGCACTTTTTATTCCTTCAATTAGCTCCGACTCAGTTGAGTATTGTTTTCCAGACTCGTATATAAGCGTCCCCTAACATTTTCTAGGTCGGGTGAGTATGGCGACCATGTCAGTAAAGGCACGTTTTGACGCTCAATCCAAGACTTTACGGCTCTTGCAGTGTGTGGGGCGTCATCGTGCCGGAACATTCAACGGTTTAGCTTTCCCCATATTAACTCAATTTAATTGAAAATTGTTTAAACTTATTGAACAAAAACTTTAATAAGCCAAATACGACAACGCACTCGCAAAAATTAACACTGAAGCGTAAGTGTGCTAATCGGCTGTCGCAGAAAATGCCATGCATAACGGTATCTTCCAGAGCATAACAGTTCTTTTCTCAGAAGTGTAAATAAAGAAGAATGAAAGAAAAGAATATTGAGCATGATACATACATATGTATTCAAAGTACTGAGTTATTTGCACTGAAAGGTTAAAGAGTGTGCTAATCGGTTGCGGTGTATGTACTTGTATGTACATACATATATCTTTAATAAGCATGACGAAACAAATTGATCTTGACGTATCTGGCCGAACGCCTGTATTATGGAAACGGGTAAAACCGAACTTGGTATATAGACTTTTATTGTATTTACATTTCATATATATATGTATATGAACTCCAGTTTGTCTGTCTGTGTCTGTCTGTCCAAGTCTGGAGGCGTGACACCTACAGTTGTGCTCAAAACAATAGTAGTGATACTCTTCATACTCTTCGTTCTATTTTCGTGTTTCCTTTCATTTTTTCCCGTTACTTTAGCTTTTTGTGCACTTTTGTTATTGTTATTTGCCTTTTCTACAGCTTGACCCTTTTTTACAAGTTCAAAATATTAGTAGTGCTTGGACAAACATTGGGAAACTAATAAGTGTGTCGCTCCATTAGCTCACAAAAAGTTGCAAATGGTAAATTTGATTATTATACCCTGTACCCAAGGGTAAAAGGGTATACTAGTTTTTTAATGGTTTACAATAAACATTTTAGTTCCTTTTTTGGGTGGAGCCAAGCATTGCACATCTAAACCTTGTGCACTCATTCAAAAATTGATATGTGAGGGAACAGCAATGAAGTTCAAAATATAGTAGGTTGTTCTCGTACAATGGTGCATAACGCTATAAAATTTAACCCATCCCTAAAGCACGTATACGACCTCGCTCTAAAATAAATTAATGACCCGTGTAGTGAGATACATTTGCGAGCTCTACAAGGATAAAAGAAAAATTTAAAATCAATACAAGCACACAAAACAATACGGAGATGCCTAATGTAAATTAATTGGGCCGCTCGGAGTCCAAGGAGTCCATTTTGGAACTGGGTCTTGTCAGTATGTTAGGCGGCCACCAAACATTGAATGGCACCATAGATTCACAGCAAAAACCGTAAAACACGGAAGAGCTCGCATTATGATCTGGGCAATTTTTTCATATTACGGCGTGGGGCCCATATATTGGGTCAGGGATATCATAGATCGGCGCCTTTATGTGCATATAATGCAGAATATTATGCTGCTATATGCAAGTGATAAAATGCAACTCATTTGGATCTAGATCTCAAGCCGATTTAGAATTTATGGTGCGCTGTAAAGAAGGAAGTTGAACAATTTTGGGAAGCAGTTAGGCATGTTTGGAGTTTCATTCTTCATTTCATTGTTCATGCTAAAACAATGTGCGGCAGTTATTATTGGAAAAGATTTGTTTTCATTTGTTATATGACCATAATTTAATGTCATTTCTTTATAATTTACTTGTTAATAAAAAAAACAAGTAAAAAAGCTAAAGTCGGGTGTCCCGACTTTGAAATACTCTGTACACATGTTTAGAATAATTATAGAAATTAAAAAAAAAAATTTTGATCGATTTTACCTCTCGGTATTCGAATTCACGTAAAGGGAGTATAATTGCATATATACAAAGCAATGAATGTCTATGCACGTCTATTCGTGTCTGTGTAAACATGTTTGCAGTCAATCAAACATCAACAACAGTTGCGAGCAGCGCTTGAGCAGCAAATATATTTATGGCTATAACTTCTTGATAAATCATAGTGAAACTTGGCATACGGACACATCATAACCAACGATTTGCGCCGGGAAAAATGGCGAGGGAGGGGAATTCCAAAAACACATTTTCTGCGTATTCACATAAGGCATCTTGGACTAAAATTTCTTATAATAACAGATGCCTTATATACGAGGTGTATTCCAAAGTAAACAGGTAAACTTAAAAAAAAAAAACAGAACAAATGGTTTTTTCGGCAAAATCAATTTATTTAATTCAAAATAGTCTCCTTCTGCTCCAATACAGCTTTTTGCACGATCCAAAAGAATGTCGAACGAGTTTTTTAGCTCGTTGGCCGGTATGGCCGCGAGTATGCCGGTGCAAGCCTTTTGAAAAACGTTGAAACCACTCGTGCACTCTGCCATACACTTGTTCCATCAATTGAAACGTTTCGGTAAAAGTTTTACCAATTTTAAAACAAAATTTAATATTGGCTTTTTGTTCGAAGCCCATTTTCGCACAGATAACACAAACATACTGACACTTAAAACGCAATAACTTCACTTCCAATCGATGAAATGTCATGAAATTCTCACTGGACAATCGATAAAGATAGCAGATTCTAACGCACCAGTCGACATATAGATAGCGCCACCACGGGGCGCTAGATTCAAAAAGTCCTGTTTACTGTGGAACGCACCTTGTATGTATGTTATTTGTGTGCGCTATGAAACTTTATTTTATTTTACCAAAGAATTTTAATTCGCTCTTAATCTGGCAAAGTCTCCTGCTAACCAAGAATATACATCAGCTGAATACATAACACAGCTCCTAGGCAGCCTTGTCCTGTGTGTATTATTTTGATGGCGGTGATGTGAGCTTAAATATTCAATTTCTCAACATAAATCAGGTTTATATGATATTTTCTACTCAGACATAATATTCGATTAGGTCAAGTAAATAGTAAATAGCAAAAAATCAAATATACATAAATTATGAGTAATGTTATTAGACAGGCAATTTATTTATCATCACATATTTATTTATTATTTATATTTATCATATCACCATTTTGAAACAGCCAGTATCCAAGCAAGACCAAGGCGACAGGAAAGAGTTGTTTTGCTCGAACAAATCGGAGTACAGCATGAAAATGGTGTTGTCGCAGCGGCAGCGCGAGGAGCTGTATGTATTGGTGTTCATCTTGTGTTTTTATGCTTAATCTACATTTATTTAATAAAATATTACAACATTTTTGCAGTAACCAAGCGATTGCCGACTATTTGAGCTCTAATGGCTATACCAGTTCATTAGAGGCGTTTCGTAAGGAGGCCGATCTCAGCACCGAAGTGGAAAAGAAGTTTAGTGGTCTGTTAGAAAAAAAATGGACCTCAGTCATACGTTTGCAAAAAAAAGTTATGGAATTAGAGGCTAAGTTGACTGAAGCTGAAAAAGAGGTCATTGAGGGCGCGCCAACAAGAAACAAACGCACCCCAGGCGAATGGATACCCAGACCGCCGGAAAAATATTCATTGACAGGACATAGAGCCAGTATCACGAGGGTAAACCGATTGGTGCCACCAAATCCAACACTGTAATCCTATTCCATAAATTATATAGGTGATCTTTCATCCAATTTTTGGACTCATGGTTTCGGCCTCTGAAGATGCTACTATAAAGATATGGGACTTTGAAACTGGCGAATATGAGCGGAGCCTAAAAGGCCACACAGACTCTGTCCAGGATGTGGCATTTGATTCGCAAGGCAAACTTTTGGGTAGGCATTGACTATAGAACTTTTTTGTACGTTACGTAATCCAATATGTCTTTTAGCCTCCTGCAGCGCAGACTTGTCCATCAAGTTATGGGATTTCCAACAAAGCTATGACTGTGTTAAAACCATGCACGGTCACGATCATAATGTCTCTTCGGTGGCTTTTGTGCCAGCTGGCGACTATGTACTATCTGCCTCTCGCGACCGCACCATAAAAATGTGGGAAGTAGCCACGGGGTATGTATACTTTTAAAAAGAAATAATTTTCCGCTCTAGTGACTAAAACTTCTGAATATTTCACAGCTACTGCGTCAAAACCTATACCGGCCATCGCGAATGGGTGCGAATGGTACGGGTGCATATTGAGGGCAGCATCTTTGCTACATGCTCAAACGATCATACAATACGTGTTTGGTTAACAAATTCAAAGGACTGCAAAGTGAGTTTCTGTATTTCAATTTAGAAATTTTAGAAACAATATTGTCACCTTCTTGTCACAGGTTGAATTGCGTGATCATGAGCACACTGTAGAATGCATTGCTTGGGCACCGGAAGCTGCTGCATCAGCAATAAACGAAGCTGCCGGTGCCGACAACAAAAAAGGCCACCATCAGGGCCCGTTCCTGGCATCGGGCTCACGCGACAAAACCATTCGCATTTGGGATGTGAGTGTTGGCTTGTGCTTGCTAACTTTAAATGGGCACGATAACTGGGTAAGAGGGTTGGCATTCCATCCGGGTGGAAAATATGTAGTATCGGCCAGTGATGATAAAACCATTCGAGTTTGGGATCTCCGAAACAAACGATGCATGAAGACGCTCTATGCACACCAGCACTTTTGCACATCAATTGGTCAGTATATTCGAATAAACTAAAAAGTACATTTATAATGTATTTATTGCCAACTGGTTTTGTTGTAGATTTTCACAAGTCTCATCCGTATGTCATCTCCGGCAGCGTTGATCAAACAGTTAAAGTTTGGGAATGCCGTTAACTCAGCAAACGATTTGCCTCCTTTATTAAATATACATATTAAAGCAACTATTTAAATACATACAACAAAAAATACCCTTACAACGTCTGTGTCACATGGAAGCAACCTTTTAGGAACACGTAAAAAATTGAAAAATATTTATTAAAACAGCTACCTAAGAATTGCTAACCTTCAATGCAAATTAAAATACATATATATATATACATATAACAACTGTAAATTATAATTACTGTTAATTTAATTGTACACAGTTGAGCCTCGCACTATAGGCCACGCTCACAAAATATAAATGCACGCTCGCTAGCCGATTGCCGTGAAAACATTGCTTCGTAGTAGGATTTTCGTAAAATAAAACATATTTAAGCAAATAATACATACATTAGCAACAAACAAAGTAAAGTGTTTCTTTGCAACTCCATACAATTATGTAGATCATTTCTTTTAAAATTGTTTTTATCACATACAGCAAATCGACTTAAGAAAGTAATTGTGTTTCAGTGAGTGGTAAAAATATTAATGGTTTTAACATAGGTTCAACCATAAAACATTGTATTCTCAAAACTTTGCTTTGTTAAAATTACTTCAATTTTATTATGGATTATAATTTAAATAATTTATAATGGAATGCGTTTTTGTCAACAATCTAAAGCAAACTCTGTTTTACGTTCTTTTTAAAAAAAGATTTAAAAAAAAAAAAACAGAAATTTAAATTATGAACAATATTAGGTTTGTTTTTAAGATCAACGCACTACTTTATGTTGCATATTTAGTTGTAATTTGTGACTAAGTGCAAAGGCAAAATATATTCAGCATTCAAAATTATTTGTGAAAAATTTTACTTCGTATGCAAAAACTACACTTGTATGCAATACCCGTGAAATATGAACAATAAAGGCAATCTAATAAATAATTAAAGAAATGCTTTATCGAGGAATATTCGCATTTATTGTTTATTATAACTTAATAAAAATTGCATGTCAGGACGAGGAAAATAAATTAGCCTAGTAGGGTGGTTGCCAGGATTTCATTACATTCTGTACAAGAGGATATTAGGTTTGAACAAAGTGAAAATTTGGCAGGCAAAAGAAGGCGTGGCAGACCCCTCGATTTATATGTACATATATTAGTGATCAGCATAAGAAGACGGGTCTGTTCGTCCGAAAGAATAAAAGAATCTTAGAGACTATAAGACCTAGAGACAGGCAATTTTGTACACAGATGCCTTATATGTATACGTGTCTGTGTGAGCGTGTTTGCAGTCAACCAAAGCACCAGCATCAACAACTTGGCCAGCAATTATATTTATGGCTATAACTTTAACGTTAACGTTAAATTGGTTAACGTTAAATTGGTCTATCATAACTAAACTTGGCATAGGGACACATAATCACTAACTTAATGTGACTACCGAAAAGTTCAAAATTTCAAGAATTACGGGAGTTATAGAAAATCGTGAATAGGGGTGAGTGGGGAGGTGCATCAGAAAAAAAATAACAAACTCGTTCTTTCTCGGACTCAGGAGAATACCAAGTTTGGTAATTCTAGCTCTTATACTTTCTGAGATCCTTACGTTCATACAGACAGACGGACATATTGTCATACTGATCAAGAATATATATACATTGTGGGGTCTGCGAAGCCTCCTGCCTTTTACATACATTCGCACAAAACTAATATACCCTTTTACCCTTTGGGTACAGGGTATAAAAACTACATTAAATTTCATAAATGTCGTTTAATCACACAAAATAAAATGTTTATTGATATTATCTTGCAATTTTTATATCCTATACCCAAAGTTTAGTTTAGTTAGTTTTGTGCGAGTGTATGTACATGTAACACACAGAAGGAGATACATACATTTACATCCGAATCGTATCTATGCGTGTTTGTGTACTTGTACATTTGCATGTGTGCATTATATAATTATGTCAAAGCAGCAACAAATACAGCTGCGGACTAATTCTTGGAATTTTGAACTAAAATTTGGTATTCACACCCAGTTAGCGATTATATAGGCTTTATTTATAGGCTTTTTATTCCTATAGCTTTATTTAAGTTTAAGTTCTCTATTGTATTGATTTTTTGTTTTCTTTTTCTTTTACATCGACTGCATTGTTTGTCGATGAAATAAATAAATAAATATATCCGTATACCAAGTTCCACCATGGTATGTCCATTATGAAGAAAGTTTTAGCCATACAAAAAATCGCTGCCCGCAGTTGTTGTTGTTGCTGCTATGATTCAACTTTGTGCTGCATACATACACGCATATAAACACGCAGAGACACAATTCTGATGTAAATTTATTATATGCATGTGTTGATTATTTTATATATAATTTAATTCATTGATAAAATTAATTAACCTTTTTCAAATAATTTTTTTTTTAATTTTCCTTTTTTTATGGAGAGTACAGGGTATTTTACTATCGGGCTTGCTCGACTGTAGCGTTATATCTTGTTTAATTTAAGGTTAACACGAAGAAGAGATTGATTGCCTAATACAATCTTGGATGAGGCTCCCTCTCTTCAAAATAGTGAAACAAAATTTGATTCTGGAAAACACTTCATTTTAATTGCATAACAAGTACAGGGTGGCAATTCAGCCTTAAGCTTACATAAACAAATTTACTTAAGCATTTTCAAATCTACCACAATGGAACCGGCTTGTTTTAACTCCACCGAGTCAGACTCAAAAGCACTTCCATCAGTACAGTTCTTGGAATACCATGACTCAGAGGCGATTTTTCCGCGTGTTCATGTGTCCATTCTTATCCAGGACACCATGATTCAGCGGCGACCTTCCGTATGATCATGTGTCCACTCTTATCCAGGACATTCGCTTGTTCACGAATCCTACCTCACTTAGAATATCATGACTCAGGGGCGACCATCCGCTTGTTCACGCATTCCAACCAACTATAACAAACTAAGTACAGTACAACAACGCAACTACACCAGAATAGCATGACTCAGAGGCAATCTTACACTTGTTCATGAATTGCAATCAACTTTAATACAACTAAGTACAGTACAACAACGCAACTACATCAGAATAGCATGACTCAGAGGCAATCTTACGATTGTTCATGAATTCTAATCAACTACTTATAGCACAAGTACAATGCAACAGCAACACAACTACATTAGAATATTATTACTTAGTTTTCACCTTTTCTCTTTCTTAATCATATTTTTATTTTGTTATTATATTATTTTGTTTTTTTTTATCTTTTTTTGTCTTATAATTAGTGCAACTATTATTATTTTTTTTATAACTATGTTCCCTAATTATTAGTAGCTTCTTCGGCCTCTAGTTCGAGTAGTGGTCGAATCACTTCCCTAGCGGCGACTATTATGGTATTGGAGTTACCGCGTTTTAACTTATAACGATCATTCGGCAAGACGCCCAACACCTCATAGGGTCCTCGATACTGGGGTTGCAACTTCGACTTTCGGATCTGATTGCTGCGGTAAATTACCTTCTCGCCTATATTTTAACCTGGTAGGCTTACATTTATTCAAATCGTTCAATTCGTTCTTTAACGAGCTCGCGTATATTTACTATGTCATCACAGTAGGGTTCGATATCTAATGCAGCTGGGTGTGCGCCAATGTCTGGAGTACGCCCAGTAACTCCCGTCAGTATCTTTAAGGGGGAAACCCCAGTTGTCTTGTTAACTGTAGTATTAAGAACCAACTGTACTCGGCTGACGTAGTTAGGCCACTGGAGGTTTGTTTCTGTATCAGTCCGTAATAAGTTAGCTACGGTGTCGACATATCGTTCTACCTGGCCATTTGCTCTGCTGGTCCTCAATTCTGGGTAACGATCCTTTACTTCAATTCTATTGAGTGCCCTGTAGTCCACACAAAGTCGATTCGAGCCATTTTTCTTTTTGACGAGGATTATTGGACTAGCAAAAGGCGAGCAGCTGGGCGATTCGATAAGGCCTATAGTTGACAACTGTATCTTTTATCAAACGAATGTTTAGGGAACAAGTAGTTACCCGCGTAGTTGGATGGCTCTTTATATTGTTCCGAGAATATTTTACCAATACAGAACCCAAAGGTTTTTGGTGGGAAAGTGAGTCGCTAATCGCTTTCTTATCGGAACACAGTACTTTTGCCTTTCGGCGCAATGTGGAGTGTTTTAACACGTCCCTGCCAATAATAAATATCTTTTGTCAGCAATACTAGCTCTTTTCCAATTCCCTCTACCGAGAGAGTGTATGGGTCTCTTTTCTGCGAAACCTTGTCCGCTATGTCGGACCTAATGAATGAATAGTCGGAGCCAGTGTCCAGTAAGCAATGGAACAGTTGTTTGTTGATTAGCACTGGGGTGTAGTTTCTTGTTAGAAAAGTACACTTACATATGTTTACGTTTTTATGTTCAGCTCTTTCTTTAGCCCAACATATCGATTCAGTACGGCCTGAACTGCCGCAGAAGGTACAACTGACGACTCACCGCTAGCACTTTTACCGTCAACAGTTTGGGCCATCTTCGTTTTGGAGTAGGCTCTGATATGGCCTTTCTTTCCACACCTAAAACAGCGAATGTCATCATCCGTTCGTGGACGTTTATTCGGTACAGCTAATCTATCCATAGCTCTGCCCATCGGAAGCGGCCTTGAATTTAGGGGCTCCCTCTCGTAAAACCGACGTGGAGGGACGTTAAACTTGTTGTTGGGCTTCTCTCCGGTGGCTTCAACTATCGAAAGTTTTACTCTAGCAAATTGAGATGAGAATTGTCAGTGCTTTTTCATATTCGGAGTTTGTGCGTTACCGTATTGACTCAATATGGCACGAAAAGACTCAAATGTGAATTTAAAATTAGGATATACCCTTATAATTATTCCCCTTTTTTGCACATAGTCTATCTTAAAACGTCTTAATTGGTGATCAACGCACAGCCCAAACGGTAAAAGATGAAATTAGATAGTGTAGGAGCACACTAAGAAAGGTTTTTGGAAAATTCTAGCTCCAAAGGGAGAAAACGAGCTTTAAAAAGTATTAGTTATAGTGGTCATGTTCGTTTAACGAAATAGTTTGGCAAGAATAAAAATGTAACGGTCTACTGAACAATTTTTTGTCAAGAACAGAAAATGTTCATTTAAATACCTTAAATGCCTTCCTACTGGTAACTTATAAAGTGAAAACATATGGGTAGGTTATGCACACACAAATTAATACAATTGGAAACATTATATTGAGCCGGGTTAAGACGGGCAATACCTGCTAGTATATATATATAGGTCTTGCCCGTCTTTGCTGGGCTAAGTAAAATGTGCTTATAATTATAAGTTTATTTACTATATGATATTCTTCTTTCGACGCTCTCTAAAGTTTTTTAAAGAGTTAATTTTATATATATATATATATATATATATATATATATATATATATATATATATATATATATATACCGCACGACAGCCGTGGCGACCTCATCATCGCTGGACTGGCGCAGTGCAGCCGCAAAGGATGCGTTGATGTGCTGTGATGTGGGTACTTGTTAATGAGTACTGCCCGAAGGCGTTTCGCCGGATTGAGCCTATGGAACCGGCGACACCGCTGTAGGGCGTGGACTCCTCGGCAAACACGGCAGCGGAATGAGTTCACTCCGCGGGTCTGGCTGGAACAAACAACACGGAGCTAGACAAAGTAGCTACTGGACGGAAACGGTTTCTTGTACGGGAAGTAGTACAAGTCTTGGGATTGGCCGTTTGATAGTGCCTCGTGACGTTAAGACATCGGCTACTCGTGTAATTCGATCAGAGCCAGGATAGGTCTCTCGGATTCGTCCAAGACGCCAATCATGCG